AGCAGCAGGCCATTAGGAGGAGCTCACATGGAAGAGGTTTTGGAGATCTGTAAACATCCTCCAGCTACTTTGACATGATGTGGCTAAAATGAAAACTGCTGCAGTGGCAGACAGAGACCTGCTTTGAGGCAGTTGTTACGAGTGGAAATGCAAGTGTGMTTCTTGTGGGGTTTCAAGAAGTTCTGCGTGTATGTGAATATTTACATTGTCACCCTAGAATAGTTGTTCCCCGACTCTGAACTACACCTCACACAATGATGCATTTTTGCTAAATGAAAGTATTCTCACATAAGGGTTATATCACAGTAATGACAGTATGTTGAACTGTGGGGACAGTAACATACAAGCTGACATACAATATACGAGTTAAGGGACTAGAGCTTTCATATATTTGTGTCAGTCAGTGGCTATAGTGTGTATAGAATACACTGTCTCATTATGGCTAATATATTTTATCTGGGAATAAGTACTTCAGCTTCTCATCTTTTGGAAACAAATCAAAAGAGCATTTTTGAAAATGTTCCCAAAATTTCTGCTTGGCAAATAAATCCTGAGGTTTCATATCTTGTGAACAATTCAGAAGTAGTTYGTGCCCTCGGTTCTTGGTTTAGAGAGTCATATTCACTCTTGATCTTACTGTGTGTCCTTGTGAATTTTGGGTTTTCTGAGTCATAAAATATATAAGCAGGGAGGCAGGGAGCTTCTCTTTTCTCAGCTGAGAATGCAGTGGGAGGTATGCTCTCCAGGGGAATGATGCCCAAAGATGCTTACGCACATCAAGGCTGAACAGAGGTCCCTCACACTCCAGAAATGCTACTGCAGAACCTCTTAGGAAATGGCTCACATTGTTCCCTTCTCCTTGTTTTAAAGGACATTTCTGAAAGAAAAAGGAACTTCTGGGGTGTGGGTCTCGAGTGGGAAAGCTGCATCACTGGCTTTTTTAGAAGGTAGAGATGCTGAGAACTGAATGAGCTTCCCAGCCTCAGTGTTTCTATGTGTTGCAGGTGTCTTTCATAATAGATATCAGGTACCAGAAAGAGTATTTGACTTATTAATAAGATGAGGGTTTGGAAGCTAGTGCACTGGCCCCATAAAAACGGAGACTACTCAATGTGTCATCCAATATTGGCAGTTTATTCATGAGCTTAACTGCGTTAAGATTTAGCTGATGGCTTAATTTACTTAAAAATCATTAAAAAATGTATCATAAAAGGAATAAGAAAATGCCTTTGTTTCCAAATGTTTTATCTATATTCCTGTACTGTGTTTACACCCATTTATATTCTCTGAGAGTAATTATTTTGAAATTAGAGCAAATTTAGCACAGAAATAATAYTAAAAAGTTTTAGCTAAAACTACCTTTAGCATAAAAATATTTCCTTTCATTTAAAATGATGGCACAATGTAATGGATTAAGTGTTCAGGTAGTCTTTAAGAAATAAAAAGTAACAGAAGTAGGCCCCTAATATTTATATCACTGCAGAAATAAAATGCCTACAGTAAATGGATTTATTGTAACAGCTCAACTGCAGGGAAGTCATCTTTTATTGAATTAAGAGATTTGTGCTGTTCATTACCAGCCACCACCAAACAAGAGTTATAGTCAGCAGTAACAGATACTGTGTTCAACTAAGTACAATGCAGCAAGATGTGGAAGAAACACCTCTGCCCAAGAGTTTGTTCAAACTACTTTTGTCTAGTGAAAAAATTCTTAAAAGCAGTATTTGCATGTTATACTGACCTATGGAAATAATTACCCTCTTTCTCAAGAAATTATGTCATGTTGATAAATACTTTAGCTAGTGTATAGGCGTTAAGTAAATTTTACCCACTTTTCTGATTTAAAATACAGTGCAAGAGGTTGGAAACATTTCCAGTTCCTAAGGATCTAGTCAGTCCTGTTTGTAACTTATATGCCCAATGAACTGTTGAAGCATAACGTTAAAAGTTAAAGAACAATGCAAAAAACCACTTACTCTGTAAGTAGGAAGAAAGGGAAGATCTTGTAAGCTGTATCTTTTCAAGGCAAAACATCAGAATTGAAGGAGCAATTCTAAAATGCCTTTTATACCTTTGACATGAACAAAGGCTGTTTTAATGATGCTTCTCCTTGTACATTATTACACATCCTGCCCTGAGGTCAAATGTGTGTGCTCTGGGTCAATCAAAATTCCTGCTTTCAGGGAAAGAGCTGTAAGAGTTTTGGTGTTATCACACAGAGCCACTCGTACCAACCTAAACCTTTACCTTTAAAGTCTGCCACTTCAGAAACACATACACAAAAAAATTAGTCAAGCTGTATTTTAGTGCCAGTGTCCTCAGACATAAAGGTCTTAGACTAATTCTCAGGAATGGTTGCAAAATTCACACAAGTGCAAAGCAGACATTCACTGTTTATCATTCATGCTAGGCGGAGTGTTTGTAAATTGCTCTAAAATGGCAGGGCACCAACAATAGCCACCAACAATGGCAGGGCACCAACCCTTATTTTCAGTTGGGTACGAGGTATAAATGGTTACAAGGTATAAATGAATTAACTGGTTGTAGAGTGGGGAATTTTGGCAGGGACTACTTAACRTCAGCAGTTTGAGAACTGCAGGCAATCCAGCATAAATATTTGCAGTAAATGATTTCTAGTAGCTATTTTTCTTTGTGAATATGATTGTGTGAAATTAACAAAACCCCTGTAGCTTTCAAATACTTCACTGGGTAACTGAACATGCTATTTTACATAGTGCATTTTTAAAAGAAAATTACGCTGGCATCYTACAAATATATAAAAACCTTTGACTGAAGTAATTAGCTGCTGCGCTTGTAAGATCAACCCAAGTACTGAAGACATAGGATTAACCCAGATATTATACACACAGATTTCTCTGCAGTTTGTTTTAATGAACAGCAATAAGAAGTCCTGATTCTGTACACAGGCTTGGTTTTCTCTATCTTTCTTTTTTTTTTTTTTTTTTTTTTTTTTTAACCTTGCATAGAGCTGGTTGAAATCCACACAATTCAGGCAATGAACCATGCTCCATTTAGGCTTTCCAGTGGAGAGTGAACTTATCTATTAAGAGGTTTTTGAGCTAGGCCTGGAGGCCATATCTATAGCAGGCTTAGGGACAGCAGCTTTCGCGTCCTGGGGACAGCCTGGGTGCATTAAAGGGCTTGGCAAGAGAGCAGGAGGTTGCTGTGTTCCTAAGTGAACACAGGCCCTTGGTTTGGGCCAGTGACTCTGTTTGTTTATTTATTTATCCAGATGTGAGGAGTAGCTGCTCTCCCTCTGTTCAGCAGGGGCCTTGCAGCCACGTCCCAGCAGATAAACCCCGACCCACCAAATCCGTAGCCTGTTATGCCGTGGTGACCGGCATTCCYGCCGGGAATGGGGAGGCCGAGGGGTTCTGTCACCATCCCTGTGTGTCTGGTCACACCCAGCATTACGGACCTGAAGTCTGGCTGGGCTGCAGGGACAAAGCTGCCATGACCCGAGAACGCTGCCTTGAGGGGCTGCGCTCTGCTCCGGGTATGGTGTATGGTAAATTCAGGTTAGCAAATAATATTTCTGTATCTCTCTCCCTTTTTTTTTTCTTATTTCTTTATATTTCTTTGTGATTTTCTTTGTATTTTTGGTAATCTAGATTTCTTTCAAAATAAAATGAATTATAAAATATCTTAGCACTTGCTTCTCAAAAGGCTTTGCTTAGAGAACATAATGAAAAAGCAGCTAGCTTTGAAACAGTTAACATGGTATGAAGGAAGTAGCCAGCTTTGCAGGAAAGGCAAAATGAAGGCTCTGCAAAAGCGTCTTGCTGCCCTGCTGCATCAACCTGTGGTAGTCAGAAGAAATTCTCCCTGCCTGTAGCTAGTGGCAGCCTTAATGAAATGGCAACTCCTGTTGCCCCACAGAAATGCAATCATATTATTGACTGAAAACACTGAAAACCAAGTGTGATATCTGCAGATTTGCGGYGACGCTGATGATGCATCTGTGTAGGCTGCAATCAATTACTTGGGTTTAACTGTGTAATGTTTAACAGAAAAGGATGTATCGTTTACAGAACATTATGGCAGATATTTGAAGCAGCAGGGTCCTGTCTGCAGCATAACTTGTAGTCTAGTCTTTGAGTGTATGTGTGGGCAGGAATATTCTGCGCAACACCTCCCCATGCAGGTACATTGTACACACACACACATACTATTGCACAAGCAACCTAAATATGATATTTTTAAACTAATGATGAGAATACGACCCACATMCGCAGAAAAAGATCACATGTCAATTTTTGTTTGCCCCTTTGCTACCGACAATGTAAAGACAATCTCCACAGGGAGAACAAAAAGACAGAAATATCCAGGATGGTTTTCAAAAAGTGCTGAGCAGCTGCAGCTGTAATGGAGTACAACAGGSAGTGGGGCTGCTCCTCACCCTGTTAAAAATCGAGGTGTCTCTATATATAGACAAGCACATATGGATGGGTGCCCTCCCTGCGTGTGCGTATGCGCCCATTTCATTATGCTGTGCATGCTTAATAACTTCATCCCACAATTAAAGCCTCGCACACATGCACACCCACACTAACATCCCTCTCTGCAACGCACACACACACACACAAAACCCAGTGACAGGCGCTAGCAAAATCTACAGCAGCTCTGCAGGCAGAAAGCGCTCGCTGAAGCTGTGCAGTGCACACCCCATCTGCAGTGATTGGTGTCTTATTGCTATGTATAATAAATAACAGTGTTTAACAATAACGGTGCTGCAGAGCTGCCCGTGCTCACGCCCTGCTGCCACGGTGCTGCTAAGCCATTTCCACAACGTGGTCCTGTGCTGGAGGGACACGCGGAATGAAAGGCAGGCAGGACACGATTAGCTGGGAGAGATAGGCTCCGACAGGAAAAGCTGCCTCATGTCGGAGTGGGCTCTTCCCAGCTTTCAGTCGTGTGATCTGCATGTCTAATAATGAGCAGATTTAGTCAATCCATCGTTTCTGGCAACTGTCCCTTACCTTGAAATGCTGCAGCTGAAGTATCTGGTCCTCAAGCTGTTGTCTCTTGCCTTCTATTTCTGTCTGCCTTTTCCTTTTCTCCTTGGGAAAAGAAAAAAAAATAGATCTCGTCAGAGAAATGGAGGCTTTAAGGGTAGCAGACTCTTAAGAGAATTAGAGCAGCCAAAGACATGTGTGCAGATGCCACCAGTGCCACCTCACCTGCTGGCACGCAGACAGCAGCGTCCTTGGAGCCCGCCAGGGAAGGACTCACCGCCTGCTCGGCTCCCCGCTCACTCACGGCGCTAGGAGCAGCAACAGAGTGCACAGTCCCAGAGGAGGGGAAAAGCAGGCAGAACAGCGAGCAGAGAAGTTAAAGGGACAAAGATGCGCTTTTGCCTTTTAAGCGCCGGACCGAAAATGCTGATTGCCTGCTGTAAGTGTGTGATCGTGATACGATTAAAAGCCGGTGGGTTGCATAACACAGGGGCAGAGCATGACCACAGCCTGCAATTTTTTTCCTCATCTAAGTTGATGATAAGGGTTTTTTTTCTCAGGATTGGCATGGAGGACATTTTTTTCAGGCTGATTGCACTGGTTTTCATCCGGTGTAAATGGGATGGATAATCTGCTACCTAGATCTATGCAGGACTCAGACCAGCAAYATGCACTAGCTGCTGATACATTTTGGTTCCCCGAAACAGGCTTAAACTTGCATGCATCTTGGCATGATTATTTCCACACCTGATGATTTTCAAGGTCATGTTCATGAGATACTTTTCTGGGTCCACACAGCTCATTTWTMCAGGTAGCAGATCCTTGGAGGTACCTGAAGAGAGGGATTGCCTGTTTTTATCCTCTTCCTTCTTATATTACCAAGCGCCAACTGTTTGCCTTTCCTAAGTCTTCTCAACATTATGGGGTGCATTTCTCCTCAACCATCGCCAGTCTGGATAAATCAGAGAGCTAGATGAGGTTACCCCTCCAGGAAATATTCCCTTGGTTTAGATTTTCTAGCCAAGAGAGAAATACTGACTAGTAAGCACAAATAGTCACAGCATTGCTAGTTTTTAGTACAGCAACTCTCTCTCATTTATTATTTTCTTTTATCCCCTAAGTGAGCAAGCATGTTTCTGTTATTTAAATAGTTCAGTACCCAGAAAGTTGTGCTTGAAAACATTCTGGGATTCCAAAGTCATTTTTTTCTGTCCTAGTTTCAAATTTCCAGTGTCATTTTGAGGTTCTGTGAATTCTCTGTTTTACAAGGGTTTCGAACTTTCATGTCTAGCCGTCAAGGGGCATAAGATAAGATGCTGCTTATGCCAAAAATATTTTTATTTATATTAGACCTCAAACCAGGATATTTTGAGAGAAAATTCTCCATTTACAAGGATTTTTTTTAAGACAGGTCTCAAAACAAAAAATATAATGGTCTGGACCAATCCCACTSAAGGGACATTACAATAAGCAGTGAGAAGATTACTATACACAGAAGAGGCAAAATAGTGAAATGATSCATACGTTGAACAGTTCTGTAATGCAATGTACACAGTTACATGCAGGTTGTCTGCATGTATCTGATCTACACACAGAGCTGTCTGACATTTGTATGTATATTACTTCTGATCAAAAATACACTGTAAGTTGTTTATAGATGGGCAAATTGGCTTTTTAGATAAGTAAAATGTCACAAATGGTGCATGCATTCAGCTGAAAACTTGACATCTCACTGCTCTGTGCATGCAGAAGATAATTTGCATGTTTGTACTGAGATAGGCATACAAAATTTATGTGTGCATCTTTAAAACTCACTCCTTGCATAAAATTGATAGCCTGTGGAGCATTCCTTCTTTGCCTCTCTCCACTCCTCCAATCTCCTTTGTCTCTTTGCATTTTTGAATGGAACAGGATATTGCATGGTTGAGAAGCTAGAAAAAAACAACAWTCTTCAAGGCACTGTCTTGCCATTTTTGACTCTGCAGTATTACCTTTATTTTTATTTATTAATTTTTAATTATCTTTAGAGAATGAAGAGCTTAAATTCTGTGCTCTGCTATTTCCCCATGCAGCTGGTGAGTTTTGAAAGAGGATAAGCTCACTTATAATACTCTTCTTCTTAATGGTTCAACATTTTTAGATTAAGGATAATTTTCTCATGTTTGTGTCAAGCTGGCTGGATTGACAGATTGTTTAGATTTGATTTTATTTAGGCAATAGCACCCCATGTCTGATGCTCCATAAGGCATCTCAACTTCATCAGTTACCTGACCTACATATAGCATATGTATATGTACATATACATACATCAGTTACCTGACCTACATATGGCATGTGTGCGTGTGTACACATACAGATAGATAGATTTGCTTTCAGCCGCTTGCAGAAAACCAGCCTACAAAAGCTCATGATAAAAATTGCCACACTACATTCTTTGGCTGGTTGTGTCATGCCTTATAAAGGATGTGACAAGACAGCCTTATAAAACATGGATGGAAACTTCTTTTCTTTTTAAAAAAGAGAAAGCACTTAGACTATTTTCCCTGTGGGCAACAATACAAGAGCCACTAAAATACTTGAACTACTAACTAACTAATGGCCTTCAGTAGAGTTAAACTGGAATATTGCTTGAGTTTCCATTTCACTGGCTTTCAATCAGATCGGCTATACTCTTTTACCTTCTTTCATTTTGAACCACAGCAATGGATGGCAAAAGTGTTATTTTTTTTGTTTTGAAGATTGCATGAATCATAGGATTTGTAATTAGCTATCAGAGCTGAAAAGCTTCAGGTCACTGGATCAAATTCAATTTAGCTTTCTCATAGTCATCAAAAACTGTTTTTATACCCATTTGTGGTTTATATTGGTGTTCTGAAAATACATGTTAAAAGTCTGGATTTGTTGACAAAAATCTCACTGAAATCAACAAATCAAGGATTTTACATGGTCAGTAGAGGAAATTAGCCCCCTGCCTAAGTATGTTCTTGATTCAGGATTCACTGAAAACACACACTTAAAACTGAGCAGTTGTTAAAGTACTTTTCCACATTAAAACATGTAAATATTCCTCATTTTTCTGTTCATCTGCTTATGTGTTTTCTTCTTAAGTATACCTAAGTTACTAATTTACTAAGGGACCTACTGCCAAGAAAATAAAGGGCTCATTTTAAGCAAACAGGTTTACTCAAGTCAGTTTTATTTACTGGCCTGTTCTTGCAAAGCAGGAAAGACCTCACTGTTGCTTTGACGAATAGTTTAATTACCCCCAGCAAACAACCCCTAATACATCCTCCTACCTTCTCCCCCTAAACAAGGATGCTGAATGAATAAAATGTAGTGGAAACAGAGGAAGAAGGGAGCTGTGAGGCTGCTCAGGTACGTGCAGCACCTGGCAAGCACATTTAGATCCCAGTGGAGCTCCCAGGGCACAGGCACAGACTGAAGTTCATAAGGYTTTATAGCAGCAGCTTCAGGTGACTTTGGCAAAAAATTCACCTGAGAAGCGAAGTGAAATTTGCTAGGCAAGGGAGAAGCAGTTAGGTATGAACTGGAGCTCAGGGGGACATCCACATAAATCCCTGGAGAACAAGAAGTGTATTTTGCCTTGTTCCTGCACCTTTTAGAAGGGTAGTGAGAACTGTGGGTTGAGATGTTGAATGCTCAAGCACATCCAGTCCCCTGAAGCTATTCTATGGAAACCATTTTTATTTGTTTCCAGGAATTGAAGAGATGATAAAAACTGTGTCAAAAGGAGCTGGAGAAAACAGACAACAAGGAGAGCTTTACTGTGAAGATGATAGGTTAAATAAGAATGATAATATTCGTCATGGGATATTTGCTTTCCCAAAATGGAAAAGAAACATATATTCACCATCTTCTGAAAATGTGGGATGTACATGAGAAAATCAAAATGTTATACCTCTCATTCTATCAGAAATACTATGGAAAATGGGAAAGTTGCAGTACATAAGTTTTGTTACTCACAGATCCAAAGGACAGGAAAAATAAATCTCTAAACCCACAGGTCAAAGGGAAAGTTTAGAYACTTAGATCATGAAATCTGCTTAAAGAAAAATGCGGTTCATATCCCCAACATTCATATTTAAGTGCCAGAAGTACAACATGAAACAAAAAAAAAGTCCTTTTCTGAAAGCCATGATTTCTGACTAAAAGCAAATGTGTTCAGTAACTGGTAAGCAAAACAAAACAAAACAAAGCAAAAAACAACAGCAAAAAAATCCTTTGCCTTGGAAAAGAGACAGGTGATGGGAGGACAAAGTAGATATCTATGAAATCAGGACTGTCATGTAGACAGTGAGGAAGACTCTCTAGAAAGATTCTCTGTCTTTCAGCACAAGAGTAAAGCAGCATCAAATGAGACTAGGAAGGTGGGAAGACTGAGAGTCGGGCGTACTGAAGAACTCCTTGCCTTAAGATGCCTTGGGTCTCCTTGGGTCACCCAGATTACTGGGGTGCTCAGGGAGACTGGGCAGAGTGAGAGAATAGGAAACCATTGAGGGTTACTAAATAAATCACAGCTACATCTGGCTCAGGAAGCCTCTGAAACAACAACAGTTTGAGGGTGAAGAGGCACTGTGGCAAGCTTTGTACACTTGTCTTGATCACCTGTCTCTTTTATTTTGGTAAGGGAGAGGGTCCTGGAGGTTTAGCTTGATGCAGGACAGCTGCACTTGTATTACATGACGAAAATAGTTTGCAGTTAAGTGCCATGCTTGTCCAGCTGTTTCAGTCAAAACCTCAAAGTTCTTGGAAAAACACCTGCTACACTCAAATGCTTTTCCTTGACACTGCAGTCACAAAATCCTTTAATTTTTCATTACAAAATCACTTTTACTGTTTAAAAATCTGCTTGCACARTGTGTGAAGTGATACAGAGATTAGTTTTGTTCACAGACTTGTAACTACCCATGGACAAACACAGACCTCTAAAATGGTGCAAATTCTTGAGAAATAAAGCTTTGGCCAAGACTTCTTATGCATCTGCCGTGTCAGAAGCACCTGAATTCTCCAATTTAAAGCCACCTCAGTTGTGGTCAGACAGCACCTCTATAGCAATGAAGAAATTCAGTGCAATTCAGCTGTGT